ATATATATATATATATATATATATATATATATATATAGATATATATAGATATATATAGATATATAGATAGATATATATATCTAGATATAGATATATAGATATAGATATACATATATCTATATATATCTAGATATAGATATATAGATATATATATATCTATATAGATATAGATATATATATATATCTATATCTATATATCTAGATATAGATATATAGATATATATATATCTATATAGATATAGATATATATATATATATATATATATAGATATATAGATATATGTATCTCAACCAAAGAAATATGGAACATTTTCTCACCTCAATTACACATTGCCATATTCATCTTGCAGGAATATTTTGTCACACCTATCGCCGGTGTGAAGAACCTGATGTTCTGTCTCACTATTATTATTCTCTAATCTCAATTCTAGCCTCTTGTACTTGCACCCACAGCACAGTTAATCCCTTTAGACAAGCACATCAGCTAAACACCGAAAATAAAAATGTCCTCGCAGCGAGGAAAGAGACAATGTGATGGATCACCGGTGGAGGCCAGGCAGCCAGCACCTGTACGGTAACGGGGACGGCAGCATCGACGGAAAGGAGTAGACGGTGTGATGTATGTTGATGATATGTATCTGGGACAAGTTAACCATTTCACCGCCAGTGGGATTAGATATTAAAAGTGCACAACAAACTCCACCCCTGTGGTTCAATGCATATGCTCTCCATTCCTTCAAGAGCTTTTAAATAAGTGCTTTCTTTACAGCTACTGATTTTGCACATTTGTCAGACCTAGCACCTGTCACCGTCTTCTTTTAAATACGTTTTAATTGGGCGAAGAAACCACATATAACTTTCTGTAATTAGCAAATGATTCTGGGATGTTGCTGTCATTTTACTTTGGATTGTGTCATATTTAATGTTGTTGTTTTGTAAAGCAGCCCCGTTGTGAAAAAGGCAGCACTTTACCAACACAACATATAGTAAATGAGATTAGATAGTTTCAATTGAGGGTTCTCACGATGAGTAAGTAGGTTTTAACTGACGATTAATTTTTATTGCTCAATGTAAGTGGTGCGTGGAGCCTAAAGTATGGGTGAGTGTATTCACATTTAGAATGAAAATGTGTTTTCATAGAAACTGTTGACAAGATGACCACTGCCTCAGAATGTGGCTGGTAAAGTGGCCTGCCTGTGGAGTAATTGCATACATATTACATATTATTGTAGCACAGCTACACATACCTCCGCCATCGCACGTATCTACTTCAGGCTTTTGGAATTGATCAAACTGCTTGAAGTAATTCACCTTCTCCTTTTATTTTTCCTCTTGCTCAACCATGCATATAATTATCCTCCTTGATTCTGTTTCTCTCTGTTTGATTGTCCCCCTTTTGCTTTTCATGTTGAGATTCATATCACTATCCCTGCTGCTGCGATTCATAAAGGTGTCCCTTGTTTTTCGTTGTTGATCTTTGAAAGCCAATCTTTTTTGATCTTAGTTGCATAAGCAATGTGCACAGTGTGAGCCTGTACATATGTTATAATAGAGTAATGGAAACTCTAAATGCTACCTCCTGTTTCGAGCGGAAATATCTCAACTACTATTGGATGGATTGCTATAAGATATTCACCAGACATGCATGGTTCCCAGAGGATGAATCCTAATGACATTGGTGATCCCCTGACTTTTGCTCAAGCGCCACTGTGAGGTTGACGTGTGACGAGCTTTAAATAGCACTAAATAGTCTGCTACAGTCTGTTGGTGTACCTGTGGTAGAAAGCAGCTCCAGTCAGGACGATGGAGTAGTCGTTGGTCCATTTAGAGGTGTAGCCCCAGGCGCGCTTCAAGGGATCCCAGAAATGGCTCCTGGGAGGGTAGCCCACGATCCGCTCGGGGAAGCTCCGCCACACCGAGAAGGCGAAGTTCACCTACAAGTACAAACATAGAGCGCTTATTTATTGTTGCTACTTTTTCCAGGAATATAGATTTTTCTATGTGTGCAGTTCTGCCGTGTTTATTGCTAACACGTGTATACACACCTCGCTGGTCAGCAGAACCGTATCCTCGTCCAAGCTCAGCACTGCTTCTGTCTCTATGGCTACATGAGGTAGGAACCGACTGGTGGTCTGACAGGAGAAACATAGAGGTAAGTCGTGGTTCTGGTACTGTCGGCTCCACGTTGTCTGGCCTGTGCTTCGAGACTTTATGAGAATGAGTGAGAGATGGATCATGTTACAGTAAATCATGTTGAGTGACTGAGACGAGTGAATCACGATAGATTTTTCCTTTGGAATAAAAACAGAGAGACCGACAGAAGAAAGGGAGACAGAGGAAATGTGGAGGATGAGTGACATTTATGAAACCGAACGCCGCACGGATCGGTGGACATGTCGGATATACACGATAGTAAAAAGGACAGAGAAAAATAGAAGAGAAGGCCCAGAGAAATGGAGTAGCAGAGATAGAGAATGAAAAGAAAGAGATGCATAAACAGGCCGAGCGACTGACGGGTTGTCACGCTGTCACTCAGCCGGCTTCAGTGTGCGTTGCGAGTGTCTTTGGCTCTCACCTTCCTCCTGCCGTCTGTCACGGTGAGGGGGACGGGCATGGGAGGCCACTTGCTCCGACCGGGCGGCGGCTTCTCGCTGTTCCAGAGAATGATGATCTGGACGAGGAAGGGGAAAATCATTTTACATAACATACACCCCCCCCCCCACACACACACACACACACACAATTGCTACTGATGAAAGTATGCTTCCTGTTTTTCTTTTATCTGTGGCTACATTTGAGTTAATTCTTTACCTGGGAGCAGTATTTTGACTTGGAGACCACCTGAAGCAGCTTCATGATTGGCTGGGACTGGGAGACCAATGGGGAAACAGCATGGATGACCGCGGTGAACTCCTGACCTGGACTGACCCCTGAGCAGGGTAACACAAAGACAATATAAGGGTAGGAGAGAGTTGTGTTACATGTGAATATATACATATACATGAAACATATAAACGTGTATCGGTATCAGTCCATCAAGGATTATCAGATTAATCTAAAGCTGCTACATGTCTGAGAGGGAGTTCCACAGCTTGGGGAAAATAAATATTTGTATTTGATTATGATTTGCCGGTTGAGTGTTGATTGCTCGACTCTACCTCCACAGCTCTGACATAATAGCCTCATCAACATCCTCAATGTACAATCAAGATCTGCATGTTGTGCAGACTCATTTAAATAAAGAGTGTGTTTACCTAATCCCAGGTAATAGAAGGGGAAATGCGTGAGGTGAGTAGAGTACTCCGGTAGGACCAGCAGACCTCCTGGCAGGGAGTTCCACATGTACTTGTTCCTCGATATGTGAGAGAACACACGGTCCTTAATGATCTGTGGAGGAGAAAAGAAAAGAAAAGGGATGAGGGTTGCGATGTGAGGCGCAGAGAGAACAGTTAAGTGGCTGCTGTGCTCATCTACTATAAGCCTGCACCACATTATTTTTTTACCCCCCTCTAAGCCGCTGGATGAGAGTCTCGGCGTCTCGTGTAAACTCAACTGCAATTCCAGACCTGACACACTTGTAGTTTGCATATTACAGCAATCCCGAAGGATGTGTTTCCCATTGTACACCAACAGGAGGTGTCCACACAGCATCCGCTCTGAAGCCCTCTGCCTCACTGACCTCAGGCTGACTGCACAGCTGTCTCCCATGGGGGAGAGGTTCCCCTCCGCATGCTGTATGTATATAAGCAGCTTATCACCAACCTCCAGAGCCTCTCCTTTATTATCTCTAGCATAAATCCCCCGCAGCAAATGCATCAGAGGCTGCCAGACCTGCCTTTACAAACATCAGAGTGCAAAGCCTACCACTCACAGCGTGATTTTCTTCAGATCTCAGAGAGGTTAATTCTGTTGTTTCCTCACGGGTTTTTTCATGAGCTAAAATTGACACCGGTAGTAGTGTGGGCCAAAGATACGAGGGCCCTGTTATTCATTTTCATGCGTCGTCTAACCCTCGGGCTAACCTTCACATGACATTCTCTTTGCTGGAGCAACTTCCCTTTTTGAAGTGCACTTCTTCTCCGCTTGTTCAAAGGCAGCAGGGTAAAACCAAAGACGGACAGAGAAAGATGCATGTTTGAGCAAGACTGGAAGCCAGAGCTGTGAAGTTCCCCCGACTCTTTCAAAGATGAAACTTATTCTGACCTGCAGTGAGTTCTCACAGTCTGATAACAGCAAGCAGTGAGGTGGAAACTGGCAGGTTGAGACGGATATTTGCGATGTAATGATATATCATTTCTATATATTATTAGGGGATTTCTCTGGGACTTCAGGCGGATCGCATGTGGCCTGCTTTGAAAGGTTCCCGCAGTACAACACAGAGCTGAGTTAGTAAAAAGAGTAGAAACGAGGAGCATGGGCCCAAACCCCACAATCATAATGATAGAAGGGTGGTTTGATTCAAATGTGAAAGGCCTTTCTGAAAGAGGGCTGATGATGATAGCACACAGGCAGGAGACCGCAGAGAGGTGGCAACTACAGCATGGAGGGAAACCGGCGTTTACAGCAGAGGCTTCCGTTGGGAGATGTTTTCACTGCACATTCCTCCACACAATTGTATGGTAGCAGTAAACGACGAGTCCTGAGAGTTATACATTATGTCAATTAGTCAATACTCGGCAGCCAAAAGCAACATTATCCAAAATGGATTTGTGGGAGATGGACAGAAGTCTTAGTGGTGGTGGCGTGAGGGGACAAAGCTGGGATTTGATGGGGAACAGTCAAAGTTATACTGACTGATATTACTGGAGTTTACGACCAGCATTCAAAACCGCTAGACTGTGAAGATTGTTACTTTGACAGGCAGATTTGTGACGAATAGTAAACCTTCGTCTGCCACAGGTTTGTTGGCTCTTCTGTAATTTCACATTTCACATTTCTGTCTTGGTTGCTCATACGTCTTTTTAGTAAACCGTGCAAAATGCTTGTCCCGTTAGTACCGAATGGGGTTGTCCCTGTGTTCCCATGGTGCTATGTTCTCGATATAAACTGGAACATTGGAAGAGATTGGTGAAGGCTATATTTGCAAAACAAAACTGCAAACAAATGAAGGGAGATGGAAGTTTCAAATGCAGTTTGGATGGTAAATGTTCCGCCACTGTGGAGATATCGATGCTCTTGCCCGCAATTTCGAGGTTATAGGTGTCATGGAGAATGACATCGGTTAAAATTGCACAGTAGCGGGAATAAAATGACACTGGCTAGCTTCAGTAGTTACCAGCTAGCCCTACGAGTAGAGCCACACATTGTACAAAGACTTCCTGTGATGGAGGTCTTTGTGCTGCTACGGCTGAGGCTCACCTCCAGTGTGGTGAGGACTATCTTGTCCACAGAGGACAAGTAGGCTTCCCACAGCATCTGGGTCCTCTGTCTGAGGGCCAGGACTCTCTCGTTCCCTACTGCTCTCACGGTGGATGGCACCTGTAAACAGAAGATTAGACGAGTAAAACATCAAGACAGTGGGGGGAAAAAAGAACAGAGACAAAGAAGAACAGAGAAAAATTGCCAAAGAGTTTCACTTTTGGTTGTTGTTTTTAAAGCAAGTCACGTCTCTTAAAATAGACTAGAAAAGAGACAAATGGCATTTAAGTGATCAAAACTGTGTAAACCGCATTGGGTGGTTGTTTAATCTGGGCCCTTTTTAAAAACACACACTTGACACGGAGCTGATTTGGGGATCCGTTGTTCAGATAATTAACCTTTAGTAGTGAGGACCACATTCGCGGTTTTCAAGTGAATCACCAAAATTGATTTCATCACTTAGAGAGTTAAGCTCAGCGGCTCAATCAAAGTGGAAGAAAGCCATGTTTGAACAGAGCGATTGACTCCTTTAAAGCCTTTGTCTTCACCGCTAACACACTTTCTAATGAGCACCAGTTAAAGAAGCTGGGAGGCCGCTGAATCTCTGTTTCTCTCTCGTTTCTTTAAATCTTTGTTTTTTCTACCTCTCTGTCTCTCTTCCCACACCTCCCTTCCTCTGCATGTCACTACCTTGCTCCCACCTTTCCCTTTCTTTCCAGCAAAGAACATCTGAGGAACGGCTTCACTACAGCGTCGGCCTCAGTTTGTCTGAAGTGTCTGCACTCACTCAGCCTCTCCTGCAGAAAAAGACCTCACACTACTTAACCTCAGATCATAGACGGCGTGAATATTCACGTGCGTATTACAGAATTTTTTTTAGCAGGTGTGCAAAAATGCCACTGATGAGGTCAGTGCATTTGGCCCTAATTGGAAAATGTCTCCCCTGCTCTGAGCTCTCAGGAGCTTGTTTCTGTTCATTAGCTGAATGCCAATTCATGCCCTCTACTGGGCGAGATCAATGCTGAGGAGACGCGCTGCACTTTGTGTGAGGAGGAGAGATAAAGGTTGAGCCGGCTTTGCTTTCTCATTGTGTTTGTTTGTGTTGATGTGTGTGTCTGAGTGAGAAGAGACACAGAACACAGAGGTTGTGCGAGTGCTTTTTGAACTGAAGCTGGATTAACGCCTCTGTGGGTGTTTAATCTCAAAGGGCTCTGTCCTGTAACCGCTCCGCTTGACACAGGTAATAGAGAGCCGCAGAGATGACGCCTCAGTGCTATCTCTTCATCAGCATTTCTATTCTTGTGGTTTACTCTCCATATTCTAAGACAAATCGCCATCCACCAAACCAACAGCTATAAGAAACTTCAACCGTCGGGATTTTAACAAAGTTGAACGTTTACTTCGTGATTCATTTTGGCTCCCTATTACTTTTTTTGCAGCCCTGCATGGTGAATGTTTCCCAGTGATTATGTGTACAATGAACCTACATGTCAGCCTCTATATGCACCGATTTATGAAGGAAAACATTGACCACGGCTCGGCAGAAAAAAATTGTGACCACATCGACTCTACACCGACTGAGCAGGCTCTGTGTCTCCTAATGATGCGTTCAGGCATTGTATTGTGTGTAGGTCATCTGAGTTTTGGCAGCCCTCAGAACTGTATTACTGTAGTTACGTGTAAAAAAAACAATAGACGTGAAGGGAAAAATATGCTTCAGGTCACGGTTTAACACGTTTGGTGAGTGACTAATGCGCCGAGACAGATGACTGAAAAACACGGTTGAAACTTGATTATTGATTCTTTGAATTTACTCTTGTGCACGCTCAGCAACTCATTTGCATTTTATGTCAATAACTTGAAGCATCTTCTGAGGAACCCAGCCATCAGGATGTCCGTGTTAGTGTGCACCTTTCTGTGTGTTACCTGTAGCAGTAATCTCTCATCTCCCTCAATGACCGCCTGGTTCCACTGTATGACATCGGAGAACGGCAGCTCCCAACCGTTACTCAGCAGCACTGGGATACACGCCGCCTGCAGACACACACATAAGAATTTAGCGAGTCTTGGAGAGAAACTTTGACACTGATAAACCAACTGATAACACACTGAAAAAGTCCATATACGTGTAGATACAGTATATCTACAGTGTAGATATATATATATATATATATATATATATATATCCCTTTTCATTGTGATCAGTTTGACTGGGTTCCTCCTTTGCTTCCAGCTCTTCTTTGGCAGTAAACAACATAACATGGCAAACTACAGCTGCATGAATATAAAGTAATCTGTATGAGTTCAGCCGCAGCTGCTTGGCACTGCAGGCTGAGCAGACAATATGATCAATACCCTTGTGTGTAAATGTATGTGCAGCTGAATGTGTGTGTGTGCGTGCGTGCAAGACCCCTATAGGGTGGCTGGAGTGAGTAATAATTCTTATCTCTCCTTTCCCAGGAAGCCCCAGAGGTTTGTTAAAGACTGTCACTCATACACATGCAAACACACAGATGTGGCTGACAGGGCTGACTCTTTGTGTACTAATTAGGTACAACCTCTGAGGGGACACATGCAGGGAAGTAGCAACACTGATAGGAGGAAAGAGAGGGATGGGAGGAGAATACGAAGGACCCAGTTGGTACGTGGAGGCATCGTGCTTTATTAAAGCAGACTTTTGATGTTGCCTTATCCGCTCCTTCTCTGACAGGTTTTTGATGTTGTTCCACTTTTTTTTTTTTTTTTTGCTTTCCGAGCCTGCCTTTGGTCTCCCCCCCCCTTCTCGCTCTAGGTTTCTCTCTCCGTACTCCTCCCCCCCCTGCCAGTCTTTAACTTTTCGCTGGGGCTTCCTGGGAAAGGAGAGATAAGAATTATTACTCACTCCAG